AAGGTGCTTAAGAGGATTAACTAAGATAACATAAAACTACTGGTATTTTCTGGTATATAGTAGGTATGCCATGTGAGTTGTTATTATTTTTATTGAGAACTAAATGACTGAATAAACAAGAAACAATGTGGATCTCCTATTGTACATTTATTCATCAAAAATGGTAACCGACATGAATTTTTTGTCCCACTATTCAAATGTAACTCACCTGTCTTGGAAAAGACTCCATTACTTAATAACAGGTTATTAAGTACTTAATACAATATCAACAAGGCAATATGCTGATATTAAGTTTACTCAGATCCTAAGAGGAGTAAAGGATGTTGTAGGTAGACATATTTATCCCACTGGAATATAATTTTTCCCCTACCCTAAATTCCTCACCTGTTCCCAACTTGCTTTTCCACTAGTACCTTTAGGAAAACTTTTCCTGAGACATAAGTTTTGTCTTGATGCATAATTTTTTTTAGAGAAAGTACTGCAATAGAGGATTATTCTATAAGTCTTCTTCTTTTGCTTCACTGGGGAGTACTTAACATCATTGTTGAGGAAAACATTTTTGGAAAAGTGAACTAGTAGTTTGCTGGGTACTGTTAAAACTATTTCATTGATGGTGGTTTTATGGATGAAATAATTTATAATATAAGAATAACAAAATTATCCTATTGGAAATTGTTGTTCTCGCCCATTCTTTTCTTTACTCTCTCTCTCTCTGTTTTTTTTCTATGTCTTCTATTTGTTTTTCTCTTTCTGTTTCTTTCTCTGAACTGGAATGAGGGCTTAGACCATTCATTAGCTAGGATGAATGCCTGTCATTCCAACTTAGGCTTCATTATTGAAAAATAAGAATCCAAATAGGTTTCTCTCACTGGGTTTCTGTGCCTTCCAGAATGAGGCAGTACTCCTCATCAATGAATTTGATCGGCTTTCAAAAACAGCCAACAAGGTTTCTATCTATTCTTATTGTACATTGCTCTCTGAGAATCTAAGGATGCTGTGATGGAATAAAGGGCCATATTCTTATAAAACCATTCTTTGTCCTATATAAGACTTTTTAAATGATTGACATATAAGAAAATAAAAACCTTTACACCCTCTTTCTTTCTGTCTTTCCCATGGATAAGAAACGTAGTATTATTATATAATGAACAGCCAAAAATACTCTGGTAATTGAGTTTGCATATCTGTTTGCATAAAACAAAAATAAATTATACGTATAAATATATCTTGATGTCATTTAACATAAAAATTAAGTATATATGTGACTAACACTAACATATAGTTACACATATGATTTGTTCATATGTGTATATAACCATTTAACTTCACTTAATTGTAGATGATAAGTGAAATTATACATTTGTATATTTTAATTATTTCTATAAGTAATAAGAAATGATAAACTTGCAAATTAAAGTTTTCAATTATCTTTGAATCTCCTAAATTACAAAGGAACAATGATTAATAAAGATTGATTTTACTATGTCATTATATAATATGTACAGAGATAACTGCATATTTACAAAATTCCTATTATAAACATTTAAACTCTCAGAAAATCAGTCTTCTTGAAAGTTTTTTTGTTTTGTTTTGCTTTGTTTTTCCTAAAAGCTACATCATCTTTCCATTTCTTTTTTGGAAGATGACTGGAAGTAACCAAGTTTTATCTAAAAAGAGAGAGAACTTTATTTTTAAATATGATGAGTAATAGTTGATTAGCATTTAATTATATAATTTCATGCTCTTAGAATATTTCAAATTTAGGTCTTATGTTTCTAAAAATATTGTAAATTCATTGGAAACAGGAACTTTCAAGCCACCACCCATAAAACAATCTTAATATACACAGAAACTTGCTCAGCTCTAAGAACTAAAACAGTATTTGCTTGGTTTTACCATAATTTGGTAGTATTTTACATAAAATATTTAACTAAAATTGTGACAGTAGAAACAAATATTTATTAAATCTAGCATTTATATGAAACAGATTAAAATTATTAGCAAAGTGAAATAGTAAAATTATAGCCTCAGATCATAAAAAAGTTAAGCAGTGTTTTACTGTGAACTGTTTTGTTTACTAGGTGCAATTCTGAAAATGTTATAAAGATTTTCCTGATAATTATACTTTCTTGTTTATTTTGTATGTATTTCAAAATACTAATAATTTGAATTAGAAAAGAATATAATACAGTGAGAAAAATAAATGCTGTGTTTATTAAGCTTAATTTTGAATAAAATTATTTTTCTCAATTGAGGATAATTTTTATAATACACATAAATTTCCCTGAAAAGTTTCATCCTTTTTATATGAAAGTTCTACCTTAATTATAAAATGAACATTTCTCAGTATTATTAGATATAGAAGTGTATTAATTGTTTTACATAAATTCTCTTATGTATATTCAAAATATAATATATACAATATGATTCTCTTTCTGTAAAAATCTGCCAATCAATGAGAACTAAAATTGTGACAGTTGAAACAAATATTTATCAAATCTAGCATTTATATGAAACTTAGATTAAAATTATTAGCAAAGTGAAATAGTAATTAATAATAGTAATAGTGTAATTACATTTTGACTATAAAAATGTCCTAAATTTGTGTGCATATGTTTGCAATTTTTTCATGAGTGAGAACAAAAATGTGGAAAGATATGCATCAAACTAATTCTACGAGACCTGAAAATGGAGGTAAAGTGATGCAGCAGGTAGGGTAAATTATACTCGGGTAAGCAGTGACCCCAACTTTCAGAGTCTGAAAACAACAAAGACATTTCTCATTCTTACAACTCTTTCAGGCAGAATTTGCAGAGGAGTTCTGCTCATGATAACAGGCAGGATGATGGAGCAGTAGCAGTCACACTCTCAGGTGCTTCAAGTTGCTGAGCCTCAGGAAAAGACAAGTTGTTCTCTTACTAACAATTGCATGCTCCAGCCAGGAAGTGACGCCTCTAACTCACAACTCACAGGCCAGTATTGTCACTTTTTCCACCCACAAAATGGCCAGCAACTGCATTCCTACCACAAATTTGTTCTTTATTCATCAGTTTCCCTCCCCAATTTCAAAGAGTGATTTCCTAGCCCCAGTGCATCAAATCAGAACTAAAACACTATGGGGAAAAAGCCTTCCTCACACTTACTCTCGAATCCACACGGTGCCTTGTGGAAGTGGGATACATTCAGTTCATTGCTAGAAAGGCTCCATTTCCAGATCACTACCCATTTTCTGCCCTAATTTACAGATTCATTGTCCTGTCATTATTGCAAAATGAAATAGTGAGTTTTTTTTTAATATGCTGAAGCAGTAAGTTGGGGAAATGAATATTCACTACATTCTTTATTGGCTGATTTATAGTTATAAGGAACGTCTATCTGGAATATGATTTGAAATATCATATGACTATTTCAGGAAGCTGAATAGAAAGTAGCAACTTTTTTTCCTAATATAAGAGGAAAATATGGTCAAAACTTCCTTGTTTATGCACCAGTTAACCAATTGAGAAAATTCAAGAAATAAATAATGAAACATTATATTCAAAGACCCCATATCCATGTCAGGAAATAAACTAAAAGCTCCTGATTTGCTTTATTTTGGGGGAGAAGGGTGGATCTAGGAACTTATTTTGTTAGAATGCTTAAAAAAATGCCCTTAAGTATGTTCTTGATTCTTTTAGAATGCTCCATTTCATAAAAATTCTTTTATTTCCATTTTGTAGAATTTTCAGTTTATTTGCTTATCTGTTTTTACCAGATTGGCAAAAAAAAAAAGATTCCTAATAAAAATAGCCTGCATATTTTATAAATATATTTCACTATTGGCAACATTAAAGTCAGATTTTTATTTTATTATGGTCTATCTATACTTATATAACATCTATAATTTATATATCTTAGTTCTCTATGGTAAGGGATTTGTATATGCTCTCATTTCTACCATGAAAAAAATGTTAAAGTATTTTATAAAGATTTAATCCTCCAAATTCAGACAACTTAAAGAATTCAAATAAAATTTGAAATAGATAATTCTACTTGGTTCGTTTGAACTTTCTTCATCTGCAAAATGTCATTATGGCAAGTGATGTAATTAAAGTCAAGTAGCCAGGACTCATCTAAACCAGTAAGTTGGTAACTTTGGAATCCCTGAATTAAAAACACTTTATATAGCCATGGATTCTGTTGGGTGAATCTGTGATTACATAAGAAGCTCCTTGGATGCAGTTCTAATTTTTAAAATTTAGGAAAAAGAAATTCTTTATGATCTGACTCTGGTGGAGTCTTTAGTCTCTCTTCATATCTGATATTTACAGACGCTACTGAAAACTTAAGACACCACAAGTTAAAACAGCACAATAAAGTATTAGGCTGTTGTTGCTTTTTATGAAATTAACTCTCAACTGTTATTACTAACTTTTATGCTGAGACTCTCACTCTAACTTTGTACTGATTTGATTTTTTTATAACATGTTAAGATCACATTGTAAGCCTTTCATTGGCTTTTAGCCAAAAATAATAAAATTCTGACTTGACCTGCTTCTCTTATGAAAAGTAGAAAAGATCCCAAGGGGATGCAATTTTAGATCTCACACATAATTTCCCATTCTCCTCCTATAAATCAGGCTTCTGTAAAATACTGAGTTATACCATTCACATTTCTGCAGATACTAAACTTTCCCATTCATTTTCCAGTCTGCATTCTTCAAGAAAAGAGATGTTAGCAGAGATTGTTAAAAGTTGTGGTAGTCAAAAAGAATTGGCAGGATTCCATTTTGTAGAACTTGTTGACATCCTGCCAATACCTTTAATAATACATGTTGCTAAGCAGAGTTGGTATTCAGTCAGTATGGTCTAGCACAGCCAAACTGATTGTTAAGATTTTGAAATATTTCATTTCAGTAGGTAAATAATTACCATTCCATGCCTTCTAGTATCCTCTCTCCTATCCCAGTTTAACAGTAGTCAGTCACCTCCTCCAGCCCAATTTCCTATTTTGCATCTACAATATAATATCTAGCAGAGTAAGCAGCTTTTAGGACCTTGCTCTGCTGCATATGGATGGCCCCTGGTTTGATTGATCAGTGTCTACGCTCTAGCAGTTGTTGAATACTTTGAATATAGTTCTTACTCCTAAGGATGTTTCTAGGCACATGTACCAGAAATAGAAATGTGGCAAAGGTGGCCATAATGATTCAATGCTGATGCAGCTGAGATGTCTCCCAATCAGAGTTGGAATATTGCCTGAAGCCTGTTTCTCAGCATCAACAGTTCTCTTCCCTGCAATTGTTGCATCTGTCTTCTGTCATTCATAGAATGCTTCTTGATGGTCTACTATTTTCCAGACACTGTGAATGCAAGAATAATACAATGAGTCTTTTGTTCAAAAAGTTGAATCAAGGAAAGAACAAAATTGACATTAAAATGTCTATGGTGTGGGGCAGAGTATATATGAAGTGCCCATTGAGGTGGGGATGAGAGAGAGAAAGAGGGAGAGAGCGAGAGTAGGAATGGGTTGCCAATCCTCTCTGGACAAACTTTTAGGTGGCCTGTTTGATTCATTTATTTATTCATCCAAAATATAATCATTGAAATGTATTCATACAGGACTAGAGACATAGAGGCATACAACAGAGATGCTTTCCTTCCCCCTATTGCTTACAATCCAGCAAGACTCTAAAACTAATTACATAATTACTGAAAGTATAAAAATATTTTGAGAACTCACCTAAAATTTTAATGCACTTGTTAAATTTTTCATATAAAATCAAGGACTTTGATCATTTTAATTTATTATCACTGAGAAGAAGTAAAATATTTTATTTAGTGTCATTATCTTTCTGTTAATTTCATACAATTACACACTTGGCCAACCATGAAATAAAATGTAAAATTGATTGAATAAAATCTATGGTACAGCATACAATTCATATTTATCTTATTGTTTTCTCCAATTTGATTAAGAGCACATTCCTTATTTGCCCTGCAAGGAGAAGGGAAAGCTCAATGACTTACTCAAGATGACAGAATCAGTGGCAAATCCTATCGCCTGAACCTTTAGCTTACTGTTCTTCATCACCTACCTATAAATTAATTACTCTTAGTTACGAACAACTGTGAGCATTTCTTCTCAAATCTCATTTTTCTACAATATCAGTACTGCAATCTGGTTTTTATTTTTAAAAATAGAATGAAAGAGAAGAAAAATGATCATAACTTGTTATTTCTCTAGGGAGTAGGAAGGGTCAAAAAATTATTTACTGAGTGACTAAAATGTGTTAGATTCTGCACCAGGTGTGGGACATTCATTCTTAATGATGTTGTGAGATGATACCTCCTCTAATTTACTCTATTTCTTGAGGCTAAGAAAGATTAAGAATTTGCCTAAGAGCTCAAAGATGCTAAGTGACACAGCTGGGATTCAAAACCTGCCCTAACTCATAAGAACTTTCTATTATTTTATGACAATATGCTAATACATAAAAGTTAATTTTTTCTGTATTCAATATCTGTAGGTATAATAGTCATATTTATTTGGAAACATTCTACCTCTTTACATTTTCTTAGAATGCATTCCATTGTATTCGATAGACTACAGTAGGTATTGAAATCATGGAATTAAAAGGACTTTATCAAATTGTTGATAGGTGACTATTTAGTTGTTGAAACTCTTCCACTGATAATGAGCTCACTAAGAAGTCAACTAATTCCATGTTTGAACAGCATTTTTGTTTTGAGTGTTGCTATAACTCTATTAGTACCACTTCCACCATTGAGAACCATGTAGAATAGTGATCATTTATAGAAAAACGTGTATGTACCACATGCTTAACCAGTGGTATTTTCAATCATTGCAAAACAATATAATAAACTTAGCTATTTTTATTTTTGATATTGGGAAACTGAGGGTCCAGGGATCAAAATGACACAGGTAGTTCATGTCTGTGTTAGAACTGAAGTCAGTTCCATTTGACTACAATGCCTCTGTTATCTCCATTATGCTAGCCACTGCTTAATCATCAGAACAAAAGTAAAATATTAAGCAAAATGGCCCTTCAAATATTTGAAAAAGGATTCATATTTTCTCCCAGCTCTTTTCTGTTTCAGACCTAGCACACTTAGTTTGCTCAAAATGTATAAGGCCTGATCTCTAGACCATTCAGAGCTATTGTCAACTTTTGACAACAGAAGTCAGCATAGTCTCTCAAATGTTGCCAAGCAGTGCATACACACTAGAGTAGGAATGCTAAGTTTAGTTCTGTACGAAGCAGATAACATCTTAGCTTATTTTGTCAAGCCCTTATATCTTTGCAGTAAACTAAATATTGTACATCGTGTTTTCTATTAATTGCTTTTAAGCAAAGTCTCCTCAACCCTGAATTTTTCTAGTGTGATCATGAGTGTAGGAATTTAAATTTACCTCCTTTAAATTCTATCTTACTACTCCTGGCTTCTGGTTTCCCATTGGATTGAATTATTTCTTTTCATATTTGTAATAGCTAAAAAACTGATATACATGCACTATATTTCTTCACTTGAAACTTGTATTTTAAAAAAGCTCGTTTTCTTGGGGTTTTTTTTGTGTGTGTGTTTTTTTAGAGACATGGTCTCACTCTATCACCTGGGCTGGAGAAGTGGCACAATCATAGCTCACTGCAGCCTTGAACTCCTGGCCTCAAGCAATCCTCCTGCCTCAACCTTCTGAGTAGCTGGACTATATGCCCAGACCATCACGCCCAGCTAATTTTGTGTGTGTGTGTGTGTGTGTGTGTGTGTGTGTGTGTGTGTCTGTGGAGATGGGGTCTCACTAGGTTGCTCTGGCTGGTCTCAAACTCCTGGCCTCAAGTGATCCTCTCACCACAACCTCCCAAAGTACTGAGATTATAAGCACGAGGCACCATGCCCAGCCTATAACACTGTTTTAAATTGAGAAAGAACATCTTAAATCTTATCCTTTAAGACAAGAGATGAGTCTGAAGAAAGAGAAACTCTTTGGCCATTTGGTGAGAATGTTGTATAATCGGGAACCTGGATAATTCATTCTTTTAACAAGTATTTATTGAGGACTTACTATGTAACAAGCAGTATTCTATGTATTGGTGCAGCAACAGTAAACCAAATGATAGAAGTCCCTTTTTATCCATGAGCTTACATATAGTGGGAATATACATAGAGGAAAACAAACCCCAAATTTATGAGGAAAACATATAGCAAGTTAATAATTATGTTAGGCAGTGAAATAAGCAGGGAAGCTGTATAGGGAGAATCAGATGTGGAAGTGGATAGTATGGAGAGGTCACCTCCTAAGTTCTTCACATAAACGTTTACCATAGTTATTATGGTATACTCTAATTATTTTAACATTGTCTGACTCCTCTTTAGACAAATTATTTTCCCGTGAATTGTGGTATGTCATATTCATCTAGACATTTCCAACACCAAGCATAATACCTGGCAAACAATTAGCTTAAAAGATTAATGAATCAGTAAAAGCCCTTACAGTTTTAATAGCAAAAATAAGTTAACATATATTGATTACTATGTGCTATAATCTGTGTTTTTGTCTCATTTAATTCTCACAACTTTATGAAAACATTTTTCATAGATACAATTATTATTCCCATTTTACCAAGGAAGAGACAGAGCTACGAATATGTTAACTCATTTTAATAAAATCACAGGGCTAACAATCAATGGAACAGAAATTCAAACCCAGGTTCTGTGCCTCCAGATCTCTTTTTTTTTTTTTTTCAAATTTCTTCCATACAGAACTGAAACAGATGCCTTGGCAACCCTCATCCCCCTAAAAATTCTATAAGGGACTATCAAAAATCATAATCTCTATTATATTAAAAAAAGAATGTAGCTCAAATAGAAGCTGAAACAAGGCAAGTCAAAGTCTATCAAGTCAACGAATCCAATTCATTCACTCAGAATAGCATAATATCCAAATAATTGTTTCTAAATCTCCGTTTCCATTATGGTGGATTTGACAAGAGAGAAATGAGAGACAAGAGGGAAAGAATGACAGAACATTTCCATTCCATATTAGTACTTGAAGTACTTGCTTTTCCCCTTTCTAAGAAGGTGTAATGGTGGGGGATGGGGAACACCAGGCAGAGGCCACATTAGCAATTGATAAAATGTATAAATCCAAACAGGGATCAAGGAATCATCAGGGTCTTATTCATTGGTCAAGCAGCAATAGGGCTGATTTTAGTGATAATTCTACTACCTTGGCCAAGCTGCATGCAAGTTCCTAAAGGAAATAAAGAGAAGCCAGGGCAGTGATAAGCAAAAGCAGCAGGAGACAGATTACACTATAGAAGTGAATAGCGCCTTGCCCACAGTTATCTTTGCTCATTGCTCCATTCTTCTACCCCTGAATGAAGCAAAGTGGTGGATTATGAGGACCACTGTCTCAACTGTGACAATGAGAAAATGGTTGAATGGTATCTTTATACCTTCATTTGTATCTTCATTTTAAAATTAGAAACTTTGAGAAGTCTACATGAGACAGAAGGACATTTATTTAAATATGCCATAATCACGCACTTTGTATATGATTTTTGTTTTAAAGATTAACATTGCTTTTCATGAGAGACATTTAAGCTATTTTATAGCTACATTCTCAACACATTCTCTATACTTTAAATTAAATGTCTAGTGCTTCTGAATAAAGAAAACTGAAGTCTTGATGGAAATATCACAATTCATGTGACTGATATAGTCACAAATCTGAATTTCTCTTATAAATATTATAAGCATCGTAACGTTTAAAAATGCTTGCCTTTATTTTAGGGAAAAAGGTAAAATCCACTACACTTTAAAGATTATCCATGCTCACATTTCATACTCACTGTTCAACTAGGATGGTATGTGATTCAAAAGATGGATGGGTTTGTAGCCAGGTTTTTGGTTTGTTTTGTGCTTTTGAAATAATATTATGGTGTTTTTAAAAACATAAAGAAAAGACACATCTGCAGAACATGAGATGAGGATTTATTGCAAGTTGCTTATTAACAAAGTGCTTCTGAAAGAAATTTGTAAGGGATTGGAGAAAACAGGACAGGAAAGAGGGGAAGCCAAGCAAGAGTCTCAGCCTCAGCCTCGTCATTCTGGAAGCTCTCCATGGTGAAGCATAACTCAGACTGCCTTGGCTCGGGCAGGGGAACTGTGGTTTCTGGGCTTTCACATCCCGCACCATCGGCCATTGGCCATTGCAGAGGGGTTGTGTCTAAAGTCTCATACACTATTAACTCTGCACATGCAGTGAAAGCTGGCTGGTAGCCCCTTCCACAGTCCTCCGGAGAGAGCTGCATGTATAAAGCATTCATAACAAAGAGTA